GAAATAATGCGTGCCCTTCTCCTCGTCTTTCTCTTTCGCCGTTTCTTCCTCCAACTCCTCTACTTCGTCTCCAGACTGATGTGGGTTAAATAAGGTTTAAATGCCAAAGCTATTTCCACTTCTTGAATAGTGAGAAGTGCAAACGATGAAAATAAGCTTGCATTCTACAAATTTTCGCACTACAGAGACAAACCTGGGCAGGCAAACGAAACAGCTGTGGGTGTCGGACATTACGAATAAGCAGAGCAGTTTCATTGTTGGCGATGAACTGATTGCTTGTTATCGTTGCTATTGTATTTACAGCAGGCTCCATTCGAAAACCGATTCCAAGACCACCCTCAACTCGATTTCCGGTTATATCGATGACAGTTATGGCCATTCCATCACTCTGGCATGAGAAGACCTCAATGGACGCGTGATAACGATTCCCAACTAACTCTGACCAACTGATCAGTACCTGCAGAAACTGCACAGTTAATCAAATAAGCCTCGAAAATTACCATTTCGACAAGTCATCTCCAGTGAAAACTGAAACCATATTCCGCCTTTATGAGACGGTAATCTTTGGCTGGCAAGGTTGTTAATGTTAGGGCTCATTATAAAAAAAAATTTTTTTTTAAGAAAATTCAACAGTGGTTTGGTTCTGAATATACATGAGCCCAATAATGGGTACGATTTTACATGAAAGATATTTGGATAAGCTGTAAGATGAACGGCACTGTGCAGCAGAACTCCGACAGTATCGTGCTTTTTGGCAATGTGCTGTTGATTAGTACTCAGTTGATGAATGTGTCAAAATGTAGAGGACTTCATCACAAATGCGGAGGACTTCACCAAAATACAGAGGACTTTAGCACAAACGTATGGAAACACTGGAAGGCCATTTCAGTCCTGGAATTAGAAACTGAACCTACATTCGTCGTACGGCGATTTTGAAGAATAAGAATTTAACACGGAAATGAGCATATTAGAATACACAATACAAACAGACAAAACCTCGCTTTAATAAGTTTCATTTACATAAAGAGTTTATCCACAAGTATGTGAAAAATTTCTCCCGCATTCTACTGTGAGTTGCGCCTAAGGAACTTGAACCTTAATAAAAAATAGGCATAAAAATCAAAAGTGCTTAGTTTACACTATCGAAGTATTCGGTGGAATACATCTGATACTCTTGATGCAGAGACAAGACGAACTAAGACAGAACGGATGACGATGGATTTCAAGAACAAATTACCTTTGGTTGAATATTTCTCCAAATTGGGATACAGAAATTTCCAACTAAGATGCCTCCCCACGCGTTATCCACAATTTGCGTGCGCAGATAAAACATATTATTTGACGGGCGACCTTTGAATATAATTTCCTGATGCACAGCCAGATATGGCGACGAGGTATTATGATGAAATGCAGATCCTGCAAATGAAATTAATATTCCATTTCGTGTCACTGCTAAAATACCGAACATACTTACTTTGATACTTTGGTTAGGAGTATACAGCAATAACAAATCAAAACATCAAGGCCGCCTGAACAACTATGTGAAGGAACCATAAGAGCGATATTACCAGGCCAAATCCACCAAAAGGTCCTGAATCTTTATGGAACCAAATATCACCAACACATATTTTATTTGTCAC